ATTCATCCGTGACAAGACTGAACAAAAAATGGGAAGGGTGGACACCTTTGTGGGACACTATTTTTGCAGAGAAGTTTCTAAGTTTCTCACTTGCCTGAGTATATGTGAATATAGTAATAAGACTGTTTTCATAAGCTTCTGCGCCATCCGTTGTCCAACAAGCACAGTTAAACTGGACGATCAGCAGAATCAGATGCATCCTTGAAGTCAAGAACCACTAAGCTTGTGAGTCGTCTGCACACGCACCAGACGGAGTGTGAAGATGCAGTCTCTAACCGGTTGACATCCCGCTTAGGGTCCTTTATGCGTGCTGCTCCAAGACAACGAAGAATGAGTGACTGCTGAAGCGGAATTGTAGCTGATACCTTTTACAAGTGCACATCTTGAAAGTGGACATTACTACCGACCAAGCCCAGTGGTCTCCGCAATAATAGTAATCCCGACAGTCTTGAATGGCCCATTTCATTCGTATTCACCGAGGACTTCACCCGCATCCTTGAGCAGGGCAGTTGGAAGGCCGTGACTAGGAGTGATGCTTGATATGCCTTTGATATACACTCAGACCAGTATGAGAATGAATGGGTTTCATATTCACCTCCAACTTTCTGTCGAACGCCGACAGCCCATCTGTGAAGTAGCAGGTGGCCTGCTGAGTTCTCAGTATTCTACAAAATGGATATCACACGGACACCGGTCTTTAGTGGTTTAGCTGATAGTGAAGCAAGTGCAATAATCTGCAAATCAAATCGATCAGTCAGCCTATCAGCTATAATCCGTATACCATAAGCACACTTCCCACTTCCAGCTGGGAAGTGGGAGAATGTGGGACATACAGCCAAGCATTGAAAGCGATGGCATATATGGTTATTTTGGGAACTGGATAGCTAGGCATTGAAGGCAATAACTTTTAACGCATGAGCGCCACTGACTGCGCGGTTTGGCCGTTTCCACCGGTGTCATGGACCATTTGTGAGTTGAGTCCTGAACTCACCACCCAGGGAGGTAGAAGTTGACGAAACGACTCGGTTTACTGGTTAGTTCTTTCACACTCTGTAGCCGGGTCATACATCGTTAACCTTTCGGTCGCTTCCACTCAGCACAGGGCTGGGCAAAAGATCTCTGCGAAGCAGACGTTCCCCTGGTATTCGGAGCACATGTCCTAACCAACGTAACCTATGAGGCTCCAATAGTTGACTTATCGTGAGAAAATTCCACCTTTCTATACCGTCTGGCGTACCTCAGCAGCGCAAATCAGATATCCCCCATGGACCCGACCAACGCTTCGGAGACACAGATAGTCAGGCGATGGCAGCTTTCATATGTCCTTTGTGCGTAGATGTCACGTTTCTGACCCGTTAGACAGTATGGATCACACTGACGCAGTGTGAACCCTGCCCTTACCAGACAAACTGATGTCACGTCACCACTATGGCTGTCGTATGTCTAGAAAAGCTACCCTGGCTTTCCTGATTCAAGAAGTAATCTCATCTCCAGCCAATCCACTGGAAGTTATACAACTACCCGGGTAAAGATGTTCTTTTTGCACACTCATCTGCAAGCATGAGGTTTGGGTCTGATTCTACCCAGTCTTGTTGTAGCAATTTACACTTTCAGGTGTGAAGTGCGTGCCAAACCACTCGGTAGAGTTATTTAGGTTACTTAAAATCGTTTGCATTTGGGAAGAATCTGAGCCAAGGAGAGCAATATCTTCCGCTTACTCAATATCCTTGAGTGAATGTCCCGAGATAATTTCGACTCCCAAGGTTTCGGGGGTGTTCAGAGGAATTTCAAACAGTCCACTAACAAGATTGAAAAGGACAAGTGGGAGAGATCAGCCTCGCCTTACACGACTGGACGTGATGAACCGAGGCAAAATTTCACCGTTTACTCGTACACGCCCTTAAGAATTCGAATACAGTACCCTCATAAAAAATATAAATTTGAAAGGGATACCTTTGGCCGCTGCCAAAGTTTCTGAAGATCGACAGAATCAAGAACAGTTCAGGAAAAACGGTTAGTGTGGGACGTCTGAAGGAATGGCACTGTTCAAGAGTTTGTCTTAAGGTGAAGATATGGTCGATGCATCCTCGACCAAGGCGAAACTCAGCTTGATTCTCACGAACCTGTCTCTCCCGATGACCGATTAACCTTCGCAAAATAATGCCAGAGAGCGATGGGTACAAAGCTAATGTCACGATGGTTTCGAATGACGTTCTTGTGCCCTTTTTGAAAACCGTGATGACGGTCGAGCAGCTCCATTCGGCTGGTATTCTATTTTCTTTCCAAATCAGCAGTACGAATGTCAGACTGTTCAGGACCTCGCCACCTTTGAAAAGCGTGGGATACAGACCATCCGCGCCAGGCGCCTTGTCACGCTTGAAGATTGATATCTCGCCCTGAATTTTTTATGGTGGAGTGGTGTTCCAACCGGGCCTGGTGGTTTCTTCCAGCAGTTGTGCTGAAGGAGTCCAGCTGAACTGTTCTTTGAAGTTTTCAGCCCATCGCCCAAGAAGGTGATTGAGGTAGGGAATGGCTGTTCCGTCTTTTTCGCATATTGTTTCACTGATAGCTTTTGATCGATTGCTTGAATCAGCTGAAACAAGGCACGGCTGTTGCCTGCAGCCAAAGCTTTCTACCTCCCCTGGACCTTCGAAATCCACCAGCTTTCTCTATTATTATTCAAACTCTTGATTACCCGGTGTTTGGTGGATCTACGTGCTTCGTCACAGTCGCTAGTTGATGGTATGGCCTTTCTGGCTGCAATAAGGTCTACGGATCTCGACGATATTCAGTGTTCAGTTGGTCAAGTCAGACGGCTTGTACAGACAGGTCTGAAAGCTGAGAGCATAGCTTCTTTAACTCTCTTCCATTCAGTCTCCTCATCTGCATCACTGGGTTAGCTCGATACGCTTTAGTTACTGAAACTTGTCGGAGTTGCTGAATGGAACTGCTCTGCTTTCGCCCGCATAATGCTGACGGAAAGCTAAGTGAAAGCACGGCCCGAACAATGGGGTGATCAGAGTCAAGCTGCGTGCACCAGAAGGAACGACAATCTTTAGTTGACGCACTCCATTGGTAACTGATAGCCTATGGTCGGATTGGGTCCATGGCTGTCTTGCGGTTGGTGGCCTCCAAGTAACTCGATGTTAGTGTTTGTATTGGAAGGTTATACTGGCCAGGAACAGACGGCGATCTGCACACAACTGAAGCAGTCGCTCCCCCTTATCCGTACCCCTAACACCGACTCCAAATCTACCACCCAATTGCGCTTCTCCCGAACTTACTCGGCCAAATGGATCATTCACATGTCTCGCTAGGACTGCTGTGTCCGTCCTTGATGATCGAAGCAGTCACGACAGATTTTGATAAAAACCTGTCCTTCTCAGCCTCAGAACTTCCGTCTGTCGATACGACGTACAAACATCGTTTACCCCATTGGCCTGCATTGATCTTAATTGAGCCAGACAATCGCACAGCGTAAAGACGACTGTTTCCTGGGATCCAATCTAGTATATTGGTGTATTTTTCTGGGCGACGGTTTATAGACAAAACAGTGATTAGGGGGTTGATAGATGGGTTGGTGGGACTGTGTTGTTTGACGGGTGGGGATGGGGTCCGGTGAGCGAAGAGCTACAATGGCAAGTGATACTTCCAGGCCGCCCAAAATATAGAGGGGGGTTGGTTGAGGTACCACACCTTGAGTCTTTGATTCGAAAGCCTGACCCACAAGGTAGTTGAGGATGCCGAGTTTTGTTCGGGGACCCTGTTTCTGTCTCTGACTCAATGGCAAGTGATACTTCCAGGCCGCCCAAAATATAGAGGGGGGTTGGTTGAGGTACCACACCTTGAGTCTTTGATTCGAAAGCCTGACCCACAAGGTAGTTGAGGATGCCGAGTTTTGTTCGGGGACCCTGTTTCTAGTCTCTGACTCAAAAGTCCGAACTGCAAGGCAGTGAACAGTAGGGTTTTTTTTAAGGAACTTACCCAGAGCCGATGACTCAATAACTGTGGCAGACCGGCCTGGAGGCATTGCTGTCTCACCCCGCAGGATCATTGCAGCACATGAGCCCGGAAAATAACCTGCAGACATTTCTAATTCTTTTCGCCTCTTAAATTTGCTCGGCCTTCTAAGTCCTCTATACTCAATTTTCTGCGTGGACGCTCAGTTTTGCCTGTCATCCGATGATGCATCTAGTCGGATTGTGGTTGCTCGCGGGAGAAATATGTCTTGGGCTCTGGTAAATTTATGGGCTTTTCGGAGACCGAGCAGTTGACTGGATTAAGTCGTAGATGGTAGTTTCGGTATCGCTCCAGTGGTCGTGGATATCTGAAATCTGACCAGCGGGCAGACGTTTGGGAAGTCCTCTCTCATGAGCTTGTTTTTTAGTCTATATTCTTCTCCGTGGTCACGTGGGTTTGAAAGTTCCGCATATGGCATTTCTTATGCCAAACGCAATAATCATCAGACGTTAGGATGGTCACCGTCACCCCTCAAATGAAGCTGCAGTGTACCTTCGGGATCAGATGAATGCGGTTTGTTAGACGTTTGCAGTCCACTGCCGTTCCCGACATCTTGGGACTTAACATTCGTCTTCATCGCCCTTGGATACCAACTTAGACTAAAATGGTGTCATCATGCGACTTTGCAGAATGAATCCATCATTAAACTTGTTTCTCGTGTCCAGAAAATTCACTTGGATATATTGAAAACAACCTACCTGGAATACGACACTGACTTCACGCAGCACATCCGCATGATGAGTTCCACAAACTCATTCAAATCGTAGTCGAGTCTCATGTTAGCGCCACCGAAGGTTGCGAATGGCCTTCAACCTTATGTATCTTTCGCTTAATCTTACCGTCTGGTTTATCCGGCCGCGTGGTTTTTCGAACTCTCATCTTTTTTAACCCTGACTGTATTCGAAATTAATTTCCCATTTAGCAGGAACGCCACTGACCCATTTCTCAGGACAACTTTTTTGTTTACTTATCTTGTTCAGAGGTGATTCGAAACCGAGGATTGGAGAATCTAACGGTCGATGATCTCGTCACCGAGATTACACCCGTTGGTCGGCGTATGGTTCCTGATGCTGTGAAGCAGGAACTGTTAGACGAAATACGGACTTTTTTGAATAAAGAAGCTGACCACTTGTGATTTTGTCTATGCTGTAAATTTCGGATGCATTTTTTACTGGCATGTGTACTTCGAAACACTTAGTTCTAAACACTCCTGCTGAACTTCTTGAAGATGGTATTTTGACCCGTTCCATATAATTTCAATTGATGGACTGTCGACCCTAAATCACTCATTTGTTCGTTAAATAAACGTCAATGAAGGCCGTCCCTGTATGTGTTTGCAGCGGCAGTCCGAAATTGTCTTTACTTTCATTGCGACATCGTACCACTTGTGTCATATGACCAGTGTTCATTGGCGAGGACGATGACCATTTCTTTTGAGGGCTTGGTAATTCTCAGACATAACGAGTCATTCTTAGTCAGAACCTCGATCACTGTATGTTAGTTGCGGGACTTAAACCGCACATTTCCGAATTCTTCCACTTAGATCGTCAGGATAAATTTGGGCACTTTTGTCAGAATGCTGACGAAATGGAATCGTGGAGGATGTATGGGCTGCGGGAACCTTTCGCTTGTTTGTTGGTTTGATGTATCCGTTCAAGTTGCCGCCTTCGTTCTGCAGGAAGAACAGTGTACCTGTTAACGTGGAGTTAGATTTATCCTTTTTGTAGCCAGAACGAATCGTGCTCGAATAACATTGCTACCGAACTGATGAAGTTTGTCCTAAATCCGTCTACTACATCATGAGTGTTGTCTTTTTCAGACTCAACCGCCGTCAGCAAATTAAATTGGAGTTTTACAAACATACAACCTAGGGCACTGGCAATTTTCTCCTGTCATTATCAACTCACACAGATGGCATGGAACACTGACTATAAGGTTGCTGAGAAATCTTCAACAGCCCACGACCGGCCTCCCAAATTTTCGGGTTCGTCGATAGACGCAGCCCCGAGTTTCTGTACGCTCAGTGTCCTCCGAGCTAATGCCGCTTCTGTCGGTGAACATAGGGGAACAGTTTGAATAGCAATCGTTTCCTAACTTCTAGAATCCTTTGGGGTTTATTGTTTCCAGAGAATTTTCTAGGAGTAGTTCACTTCCGAGTGAAACACCGTCGGTCCGTATCGGAAGAATGCTGTCCCCTTCATTCAGTGTTCGTTGTCTGTTGAAACCCACCACAAATTAGTTGAGTAACAGCGTTTTTACGGTCTGCCCAGGTGACGTTGGTCATGTTCAGTGGGCGCCATTTGCACAAGTTAGCTTTTGATTGAGCGTGCCCTCTTGCGTGGAGATCCAATGGTTACTGCAAATCACTGCTCTACTCTACTTACTGGCTACCATCTTGTAAATGATGGACGAGGCTATCTGTTTGCATTTTGGCAATCTCCTTGTACTGCATACGTTGTATGCCTTCTAATTACACGAAATATGAAATAATGGGAAGTGGATCCTGAATTCAGGAGATTCCTGTAGAACATGTTTTTGGCTGAGGAGATGGAGCTGGCTGCTACACGTCTTTTCGTGCTGATAAAAGAGGCTCATCAAACTATGTATGAGATAGCTGGTGTCATTCTTAGAGGTCGCCACCTGGAGATGAATCTCCAGATTGAATCCGAACGTTTAGTAGATGTGCACGATGGTCTTTTTGCGCCTCAGAAAATTATTAGCCAAGTGGGATGGTGTTCTTTTGATCAGTCGTTTGTTCACCTTGTTTCCTACACCGAACGGTATGGCGATCCGCCCTCCCCCCCCCTAATTTTTCTCACCGGTGATGGGGACCTTCCTCTAAGTAAATCGTTTTGTCCCTGTCCCACGTCTTCATTATCGGGTTGGGACCTTCCTCTAAGTAAATCGTTTTGTCGGGTCAGTGAGAAAGCACTCTTCCCCCTTCCAAGAAGAGTCAGAGAATTTCAGCCTCGTAGCTCCCATTTGGGAGTATTTTTTGGAGAAATGCCAGCGCTGTTTCGCGTGATAATCATTCGTTTAGCTATGGTTTAACGACACTGGTTACCTTTGTTGGAATTCCAGGTACTTTCTATTAGTTGCAAATCGAACTTTCGATACAAAGAGGTAGCTACGTGGCCCAGTGGAGTGTGAGCTCAACCGCATCTGGTCTAACTTCTCTGGTCAGTGCTAAAAACTCTTCAAAGTACTGTTGACCTAGTCGGTCGATGAAAGTTCGATAATGCTGCTGTTGTGAGGTACGAGTTGTTTCTGTCCCTCCTATGGGGAGGAAGGATGTCATGAAACATCGTTTTACTGACTTGAAGCCTTCACTGACTACTATTTACTATCAAAATATCTTCGAAACTAATGGGGCAGCAGGCTTTCACAAGCCATCTCTCGTGGGCACACGCGTACATCAAATACGTCTTGATTCGGACAGCCTCTTGAATGTGGAATGGTTTATACTGTCCAAGAACTCCTCAAGCCGCACGACATCACACAAGTTAACCTAGCTGTATTGGAAGAAAATCATATCTGATCGTGCTCTGACCTTTTTAGTGGAAGGCCGCATACAGGAACAGTTATAGTCAAAGACCCTTGGTAAGTATAATGAAAATAAAAAAGGTCACCGAAAAATATTGTGATGTGTAAAGGATGTGAATAAAGAGTAAGCATAATTGTAACAGACTCGAGTAGGAATGGACAGGTAAGTATTATCTGAGGTCTTGAATAATCGGATATTGTAAGGAGTTGCGTAAAGGGTCGGGCTACTGCGCGGTTACCTGGATAAATGAAGAGTATAGTGGTTCTATACGGCAACGATAAATGAGGAGGTTTGGACGAACGAGGGATTTAGAGAGTGTAATGTAGGGCGGAATTTGAGTATATAACTTGGCGTGGGAACAATTAAGGAAAGGAAGACCACATCTGGACGATGGGAAATGACTTGAGACCATCCGTCAGGGCAGTAGAAACTTAAAATTTTCCTTTGGACTTGGTTTAAGAGTGGAAGGTAGGTTGAGCTCAATCCTGTACATTACAATAACATTCCGTGATGCAGCAATTCATTTGTACAGATCAGTAGAAGGAGCAAGGGGTTTCTGGAAACGGAATGGAGACCCGGCGTTTTTGGGAGCCTAGCTACAACTTCTTTGACGTGAGACTACCAGAATAGATTGTCAGTAGGCGGTAAGTAAAAAATCAATCACTGGGTGAATGACGGGTGAGGCGAAAGCCAACTGATAGGGTATGTTAAAACAGAAAAGGTGAAGAAAGGAGAGGACGTGGAGGGACTTGAAATGTCCGTGTATTTGACTATACAATGTGCTAATGGCCGTCACTTGAGTGAGACGAGTTGGGTAGCCGTAATTGATAAGATGTGTATTTGTGGATTGTGGCATCGTCAGCGTTACCTGGATGCAACTGTAGGTAGATAACAGTTGAAAACGAAAGATGAGGTGCGATCCCGTGTTGTTGGTTCTGTGGATCTGAGATATAAAGCCCTCTAAACGAACGTGTGGGGACCGATGCTCTAATAGGCTTTCACTTCCGTTGAACAAAAGAATTCATGCCTCATACGGATAGTTTCTGGGATATCATCATGCCACACTTAGCCAAAGGCTTCGGAAACATCTAGTCAACTCAGTTTTACAACAGATTTCTAGGACGGATGACCAGGTTCAAGAAACATAGCGAAACACCGCCGGTAGGCCACTGAAATCCTTTTTGAAGGCTGTTCAGGAAAGTACTGCACTGAAGTCCACCTATGAATTGTGAGCCATCATGGACCCAGAACGTCAGACGATATGATGCGATTGGTGTTTGGGTCAGGAAATCTGTGTGACATTTTCCATGAGAGGAGTAACACAACACTCGTAGATAGGGTAGTTGGGTTACAACAGTCTAATTGGGATGGTGTGTGAGAAGGAGTGCTTCACACTGGAGACATCAACTGTATCATCGGATGGTGGTGATGGTTGGAGAATTTCTGGGCGATATACCCGTGCACCACATCCAAACTCTGTTTCGGTCGTGTCGACCAAACATTTCGACTTTACGATTTCTTTTAGATGGCTTTTCAGATGTTCTAAGCTCAGCATAGTTGAAAAAGACAATCCCTCTGGAAGAATCAGCATGGATGATACCTTCCGCTGCAATAACTTCACAGTGTGATATCTGGATTGAGAGATTTTATTTATCTTAGGACGAGGATAGCATTCTTTATAGATGATAGCATACTCGACTCAGGCATTCATTCGCCAATGAATTCAAAGAAATTACTCTCCTTGAGGCCAGGGTTCATCGAAGTGTGTATCCATCAGCTTCACCACTAAGCTCAAGGACTGCATTCGTTGAAGTGCCAGTACTGTAAGACGAAAGTAATTTTCATCTATTTGTCTTGATCTACTGCGTCGTCGACATTCACGACCACGACGTCATTATGCAGTGGTGAGCGAATAGTACAACATAAAAACCTAATTGAAGGACGATTTTGAACGCTTGAGCATCCTGACTGGTACATTTTGAAACTTGTATTGAAGCCGCTAAAACAGCATTGACGCTGCCGCAAAGCGCATTAACCTTAGGTTTTTGGGGTACACTTCAACAGATAACCTCATCCGGTGTTGTCAATCAGTTGACGAACCTGTGGAGACGGAAGACAAGCTGCCGGAGGATTCTTTCGCCCCGATAGGCCGCTTGCTGCCATTATAACGGAGCCAATAAAAACCAGATGAAAAAACCGTCGGCTGCCTCGATTTCTGGTATGTCCGACAGCTTATGTTGGTAATACAGTGTAAGACGTGTGACTCTGGTTTATTAACGCTTTATCAACTTTGAAGCTCATAGCTCTGGCGCCTGAAGGATTGACAACTTCTTGCACTGCACTATTCGCGAGATTGAGCAAGTAATGATTGACTGGACTGGTTTTCTGATCCAAATTTTGTTTCCTTTTTATTAGCACCAAAATAAATCAGGGAATGCTAAATCTTGCTGGCTTTCGTGAGGTGACACGGAGTCTGTTGTTTGCAATACCAGTCCTTAGTTATCTATTTCCGAAATCGCGTATTATTGTTCGCCACATTCGTACATCAACTCAGTTGGTCAGAAGCAGATAACAAATAAGTGCGTCCCTGTGTATATCTTCGCCCCCTACTCGGAGTGAATGCCCACATGTTGACCACTGCGCCGCGAT